CAAGCTCAGTCTTGAGCAGACCGTTCTGCGAGGCAGAGTTCTGGCATCCGTAAGAGCCGTTGATGCGCTGGTAAGAGCACATGAAGCTGGCAGCGCGGGCCTTGGCAGCATTGGCAAAGGGCCACATGTAAAGCTCGTGCATGGTGCGGTCGTCGATGTTGGAAGAGAGAGCCGCCGTCGTCTGCTCGGTGTTGTCGTTCTCGTCTTCGTAAAGCGGGTTTCGCATGATCTCTTGCTCATTGCCAATCCAGTGCTTTGCGCAGGCTTGCACACCGGCATCCTGGATACCGTTGATGGTCTTCTCCATTGCCACACCACTGAGGTAAGGGTCAGAGGAGAATCCCTCCCAGTTACGGCCTGCATAGGCGGAACGTCCGAGAGGACCAGCGACGGGACCCAAGAAGACCTGGGAGCCCTTGGCCTTGAACTCTGCGCCCATGGCATGGCCACGCTCGTACATGATGTCCTTGTCCCATGTGGCTCCGGCAGAGACACCAGCGGAGAAGACGCTAGCGTAGTCTGCAACACGAATTCCAAGAGGACCATCCTGAAGACACAGACCGGGGAAGCCAAGACGAGGGATAGCAACAATGTTGCCAACGCAAGGTCCGGCTTGACCAGTGACCATGTCAGCCTTCTCCTCGAGCGTGAGCTGGGCTACGAAAGCTTTCGCCTTCTCAAGACCCATCTCCCAGCCACCAGCGCCGGTGATGTTCGCTGTAGAGCATTAGATTGATCACGAGCGAGGTTGGTGATGTAGGATAACTTACGCGACGGGTAGACAGCTGGTGAGGAGCCATACTCGGTCAAGATGGTGGTGTTGAGCGGCTGTACGTACTCAAACGCATCTTCATCGCGACCACCGCCTTCGAAGTTCTGAGCATTGACTGCTGCCAGGAGGACAGAGCCCGAAAGTACGGCCGAAACAAGGGAAGGTGCCATGATTCTGGATTGTCGAAGGTGAATCGAGTGCCTGGATGACCATCATCTTTGTGCACAGCAGTACTTATATACTGCTCTCCTCTCGGCGCATGCTCGTCCGCCCGGTGGCAGTCCTCATCCCGATCAAAAGGCTAGAAGCCGATGTGGCAGCCACCACCATGTCCCGAAGTTTGCCCGTGCGGGTTGCGGAGTCTCCACACCTCCGTACCATACCAGTGTCGTCCTGGTATTAAGGCGCACGACGTCATCTCAAGGCTGCGTAGCGGTTGCCAAGCGGGCGGTCGGACGTGTGCATGCGCGTCGGCAGATGGTTGTGGAGTAGAAAACGAAGAGGTCGGAGCCGGGAACATTGACTCGCGATGATTTGCGGGGATCGTGAGGTTGGCTCATGACTCGCGACTGAGAGTCGCCTTGCATTGCTGCTGCAGTCGAACTGGCAGGGTTAGCTTCCTGGGGACGAATCCTGGATGATGCTGCTACACCTACATCCACGTGCCGTGAACCACAGCTCTGGTACTGGCAGTTTGATCGAAGAACGTTCCACGAAACATTCTCCGCACATCACCGGTACACCTTCCATCACGACTCACGGGTATGGGGAAGTGCGCGAAATACGACAGTACACGACTAAGCTCCACGCCTCCAAGCTTGTCTGTTTATCCTAAAGCGGGGCGAGATCTTGGATTTTGTGTGTTGCCGACGAAAAGTCCCGAGAGGCATCGGTAGGCATCGTCACGAGGCTCATGGGTAACAGAAATTTTCGGTGCATGGAGCAAGCGTCGGACCCAGTGGAGGTATTCGGTAGGCGCTAAGCCAGCAGAAGGAATGCACCCTTGGGAACCCCAGCATCGTGACATGGCGATCGCTCCGGAGCTCCACAAGTCACTTCCCCGCAAACGTCCTGGGCCGAAGTTGTGCCTCAAGTCGGGCTTAGATCGTCAGGTCGAGTTGTTGACAGGATAAAAAAACCTCGCATCGCGGTTGCCGAGAGCCGTTCATAGGTGCGGATGCTGCATCGCAATTGCCCAGGTCTACGGGTGTGTTCATGTAGGGTGCACTACATACGTAACGGTACAGGAGTTGATGACCCAGGGTGAGGCTCTAGGCCTAGAATACGAAGTATGAACTGGTTGAGTGTGTATGAAGGTGGGCTCCGAGTACCAGGATGAGAACGTGACTTGGATTCGTAAGTGTGCGCAGATGGATAACCGGGCATCCATACAGGGAATGTCCTTCCCTTCAGCAGTGACACGAACTGGTCAGGGCTTGCACTCATGACTTCTCGGTAATTTACGAGATTTGACATTCGATAGCTTTGTGCTTGACAGTTACTGGTACCCAGGTTCTGTTTTCAGACTATGCTGAGTCAAGAGTGTCCCTGCTTAGCAGAAAGTAGCAATGGCTATCCTTGTACAAGGCCGTAGTGTAGTTGTGACAGCGCAATAGAACGACAGAGGAGCTCTGGCTTCCACTATGTTTGCTCGCCTTGTATCTGCATCTCGTTCGTCCCTGATGGCACGCTGCCCTTCCAAAGTCTACATCGGCCAACGATTCTTCAAATACCTGGGTACGGGGCAGACTTTGGAGTCCATGCGGATCTTGATCAACTAGAGCCACCGGAACAAGACCTTGTCGCCGTGTCTGTATCAAACACAGATACATGGTGAATCGGGGTAGAGAACGGCATAGAGTTGTACTCAGTCCATGATGCGAAAGTCGCCGGGTGGTGGGTGAGATGACTGATCTAGGAGCTAAGGTGAGGCCGACATTGCTCTTGATACTGTTGTGCTTGCTCACGAAGTCCCAAAAGCTGGATATTGGTTCGCGGACAGTATAGCAGGACTTCGATTGGTGTCTTCAAAACTGAAAGATTGAACATGTCCACGGGTGCGTCTGAACATGCCTAGGAACAAGACCGAACATCAAGCACCGCCGGAGACATACCGCAACACTTGCAAACTAAATCAAGATGTGATTCCTGAGAGGCTTGTCAAGTCTTGATCGTGCCGGTAAACCCGTGTTCTCTGGTTGAATATTTGGTGTCGCGCCAGGAACGACGATTGACCAAATCACAAGCTGTGCCGTCGCGGTGCCTCGGCTAACTGCGGTCTATCAGCAATGAGGTCGCCAAACACGCCGCGCACAACGTCGACGCTACAGCTCCAGACTTGAGTATCTCTGGGCGGAAGAACTACGGAACCATCGCAATCGCACAAGAAAAATCCTAAACACGATCGAAATGCCCCTCCTCCGCCTCAACCCCCGCGTCCTACACCGCGCCGTTGGAATTCGCGGCTATGCGACTGCCCAAGCCCCGGCTATAAACGTCACAAACGTCCCAGCACCACACTGCGGAAGCATACGAATACTCTCACTCAACCGGCCCGCGGCACGCAATGCCATATCACGGCAATTGCTCACGGAGCTGACGCAACAAGTGAACAGCCTACACAATGAGGGTGACCAGGGATCAACGCGAGCGTTGATATTGGCGAGCGATATAGAGACAAGTTTCTGCGCGGGCGCAGACCTCAAGGAAAGGGCTACGTTTACCCAGGAAGAGTATGTCTAGTTTCTACAATGGTCACTTGAGACGAGCAACGGCTAACAGATGGCAGCACATCCAACTTTCTCACAACACTGCGGGGAACATTCGCGTCGATATCGCAACTACCTATACCCACAATCTCTGCTTTGGCTGCACCAGCTTTCGGCGGCGGCCTCGAGCTAGCCCTTACAACACACATGCGTGTCTTCGCGTCCACCACGACCGTCGCCCTCCCCGAGACGCGTCTTGCCATTCTTCCTGGCGCGGGAGGAACATATCGTCTGCCCGCTTTGATCGGCCTCTCACGCGCGCGAGACATGATCTTGACAGGCCGCCGTGTTGCCGCGCCAGAAGCCTACTTCCTAGGGCTGTGCGACCGGTTAGTAGAGATCACGGCAGAGGATGTGCAACAAGAAGGGGCTGCGCGGAAGAAGGTCCTAAACGAAGCGATTAGACTAGCAAGGGAGATATGTGAAGGTGGACCGATAGCGATCAAGGCCGCGCTTCAAGCGGTTGAGGGATGCGCGTTGGGCGAGAAGGCTGAGAATGCTGCATACGAGCTTGTGGTCAGGACAAAGGATAGGGATGAGGCGCTTGTCGCGTTCAAGGAGAAGAGAAAACCCGTGTTCAAGGGAGAATAATCGAATGTTAGTGGCGCCGGTCAAGTGCTGAGATATGCGCCTCTGGCCTGAGTCAACATGCTTCATTGATGCCCTGTACGAGTGCGATACACGCTGCTTCACATCTTGCTCTTGATCTCCTCCAGCAGCTTGCTCAATTCGCTCTTGTCCGCTTCCTTAGTTGGCCACTCAATCCCGAGACCCTCCTGTTGGTTCGGCTTTGGGATTAGGTGGAAGTGTACGTGATCCACGACCTGGTGGGCAATCCTTCCATTGTTCTGTAAGATGTTGTAGTCTTGGATGTTCTGCGCGATAGCAATTCGCTTCGTGACGGAGAGGACTTCGGCGAGCTGGTCGTCGGGTATGTCGTGGAGCTTTGCGCCGTGGTGTTTAGGGATGATCAGCTAGGGGCACATTAGTCTTGGGCTGGTTGATACTGGAGGGACTAGAAAGCATACAGAGTGGCCTTTGCTCAAAGGACCGATGTCAAGGAAAGCAAGTGTCTTTTCGCTCTCGAAGATCTTCATCGAAGGGATCTCGCCTAGTCCTTCTGTTAGCCATTTTCGACTCAGAGAACAGCCAAGCTAAGAGGTTGTTACCCTTGATGATCTTGCAGAAGATGCATGCAGCGGAGGACATTGTGGTACTCGTGGAATGGGTGGTTGGTTGGTTGGTACGGGTCTGGTTGGTGAATGAAGATGACGCAGCGAGCTTATGCTTTGAGAGCGAAGTGGGGTTGACCGAGGGACATGTGGGGTAGCTGTTTGGCGGGACGGTTCCGCCATGCTTCACATGTATATTCCAATCACGAGCATTTCCTTATAAACACTACTGCCTTGATTGTAGAAGTATTCATCCTCTCAAGTATAGCTACCTCATGTTCTCGCGGGTCATGACTTTGCCCACTTCCACGATGGGCACTCAAAGTTCGCGTAGCATCTGAACTCGTTGCTCAATCCTTTGGCGTGCTTGATCTCGTAATCAGTCGTCTTAGTTCCTACTTTCCCGTATAGTTTGTCTGTAACCAGGCTTTCCATACGCTCGCCAGTGCAGACAATGAGACGCAGAGAATCTTGCGTCCATGACTTCGCTAACCATCGCACGGTCAAGGCAGCTATGCCGTGTTAGCGACATCGAACATACGATTGTTGGAGACATATCATGGAAATACCTTTAGTTTGACAATCTTGACTCAGAAATGGCGGGTCGCAAATGATGACATCGAACGAGGCCTTCATCTCAGCTGGTAGTTGGATCGCCTTCTCGAAGTCGTAGCGCACGAACTCCTTGAAGACGGCAAAGCGCTCGTCAAACTCCAGCAATTTAATCTGCGGGCGGCACTTGACTTCACCCGAATTCTAACAATGTTGGTTTTTCTCGTCTTGCGCTTCCAGAGTACTCACCAGTAGATTTTTCAGCTGGATGAAAGCACTCGGAGCAGACACGACTGCTATCCTTGTCTCATCTGTCGCACCATCCAGAAGCTGTCGCGCAAGCACCATAGCGGTCTCGTCGCTATACCAAAATTGACTTGCATTCCAGTCTTCGGTGAAGGCGTCCATGGACAACTTCCCTTCGAAGTCATCTTCGGCTTGGCCTTTGAGTTCCTCAAACTGCTTTTGTCGTGCATCCCGCTCGCCATAAAATTCTTTTAGCGCGGCAAGAGCATCACCGGAGAGCTGTCTTCATTTGTTAGCATTTGGGCTGCGATCAGCTAGTAAGACTTACGGTATCTCATCGTCGTCTGCTATCGACGCCATGTTGAGTTTGGCCCAAGGCAGGTTGCCGCACAGCGTACCTGAAAAGTGATAGTTTGGTTGAGTCGTATCCCACTATCGATAACAGTGTGCCTCGGCTGTGCTGGTCCAGCTGGAACCTGAGGTCAGAGCGACCATGCGCCCGCGATTGCGATGGCCGTCAGCAACCTCTAGCACACGCGCACTATACTCAAAGATGGCAGAATCTTTGGTATCGCTTCCAGAAGTTGAGCAGGTCAGCGATCGGGTTATCAGGGTCCTCGGCGGCAACCCTAGCAAGGTGAGCGCCGTTATCATCTAAGAAACGGCGCGATCTGACAAAGCCCAAGTTCACGCTGCAAGGTACATGCAGTTGCCATCTTACGGTTAACATGTTCTAAGTAAACTAGGCACAAACACGTACATAGTTGGTCGTGGCGCATCACGACTGCTCATTGACACTGGCGAAGGCAAACCGCAGTGGATAGCGTCGATCAAGTCGCTCCTTTCAAAGGAGAACATCACCATCGACAAAGTGCTATTGACGCACTGGCACCACGATCATATCCAAGGTGTCCCCGACCTACTCGCGCACTCTCCCGACACGAAGGTCTACAAGAACGATCCGCACGACGACTGGCTCGCGATAAGTGATGGGCAGAAGTTTGAGACGGAAGGCGCGACCCTACGTGCCTTCTTCTGCCCGGGACATACCACAGACCACACAGCTTTCGTGTTGGAGGAAGAAGATGCCATGTTCACGGCGGACAACGTATTGGGTCAGGGCACAGCCGTATTCGAAGATCTGGCAGCGTACATGAAAAGTCTCGACGCCATGTCGACGCAGTTCAGGGGTCGCGCATATCCCGGTCATGGGCCTGTCATCGAAGATGGTCCATCAAAAATCACTGAGTATATAAAACATCGCAAGCAGCGTGAGAAACAGGTGTTGGATGTACTTGCAGAGAGTCAAGGCATGGGTTCTATGGATATTGTAAAAGTAATCTACAAGGAGTACCCAGAAAGCCTTTGGGAACCGGCGGAGAGGGGGATACGCCAGATTCTCGACAAGCTTAAGCAGGAAGGCAAGGTGGGCGGTGACAGACTGTGGGTACTTAGTGGGAAGAGTAGTCTTTAGATGTTCCAATGACACATAGTTTGACATGGCTAAATTCTGATAAGCGCCCAAGTGACTTAACTGCGCCCCACCACGCCCAAGTTCATGTACGATGACCCAAATCATTCCGCAGTGCGAACGTAGCGTAACATATTCTAGTTATAGATGCAATAGACGGGAAATTCTTCATCAAATCATCAGTCGTGATGCCAGAGTGGTTAATGGGTTAGACTTGAATTCTTCATTCAGTTATCTAATGGCTTCGGCCTCGCAAGTAAGTAATACTCATGTTCGAAATGCCCAAAAGACGGCAATTAACCCAATTGACCAGGTTCGAATCTTGTTCACGACGTCGTGTTTAATGCCTGTAAACAGTGGCTTCTTTTTTGCGTGGTTGTGGTTGAGGTGGAGGGTGAAATGGCGGAGTTTTGGCGCCACCCAACCGCCGAACTTTTTGCACCACCACGACGCTTGAACTTGAAATCTTGTAAAGACTACCGCTTACTGCGCTTCACAAACATAGACAATAATAATACTTTAAGGTTCACAACAAACGTCCATCTTCTCAGAAGGTCAATACCCCATGACTCTTTTGCACTTTCCAAAAGCACAACCACCTCGCGCTGCTATTTTCTCAGCATACAATCCTTCCTGGCCCGGCTTGCTTACTATCCTACGATTTGCTTTTGCTTATTTACTTTTTGATACCTTGGTGCATCGCGTGGTAAGACGTCGCGATGAGATAGCAAGCCACCGGTATACGGAGAACGGACTTGTAACGCACCCCTGTCGCTTACTTAGTTCTACTCTAGAGCCTCTTCATATATGCTTGAACAAGTACTAGCTGTCTATAGAGTTGACTACATCGTTGTCCACACGCGCAACGGCACGAGAGGTGGTCATAATTCTGTGTTGCATTTCCGGGTTTTGCTACATACATACTATTATAACTCAGTGAGTATAAAATGTCTAGGACAATGTACACTTCTAGTAAGAAAATAGTCCTAACAAATCTTTTGAGGATGCGACACAAATTGTTGCCGCCCCTGGTGAGGGCTGCGCCCACTTGCCATCACGGCCTAGGTCCTCGCTTACTCAATGGCGTTCTTGCCCCAGACCCCGCGCAATTGCACACCCAAGTGCGCATCTTACCAGCGACGATACGCCAGGCTGTCACCCTCGGAACGCGACAAAAGTCATGGATTTGACTGACGATGCCGAAAGCATGGTGCAAGATCACACCGATGCTGATGACGACATCGAAATCACACAGAGCGGCGATGGTATCTCACAGCCTACGAACGCGCGCATTCAAGTGTCGAAGACTTTCCGGCAAGTTTGTCTGTAAAGGGATGTGTGGACAGAACTAACTAGTATGGCCTAGTCTGAGAGGACCCATGATCACGCTCGTGATCGGACCAGCGCACGAGGCTGTGTCGATCCAAGTCCATCAAGATATTCTTACAAGAACTTCTGAATTCTTCGCCCGAGCCCTGAAGCCTGAATGGGCGGCCATGCGGGAGAGGCCGGATCATATTGAGCTACCCGCTTACACAGTAAAAGATGTTGAAACCTACGCACACTGGTTGTACTCTGGAAAAGTACCAGCCAGGTGCTTCGATCTCTATCGAACCTTCGAAGATGGCGAGGAAAACAATCCAGTTTGGATCGACCTTGCGACCGCATACGTGTTTGGTGAGCAGATACTGGACCGACATTACCAGCAGACTGTTCTCAACACCATGGCTGGTGTACAAAATGATAGTTATGATGACGAAGATAAGCCACCGGACCGGAGAATTCTCTGTATACCAGATTTTCCTTCTGAGGAGGCTATACGTGTTCTTTACCGTGGCACACCCGAAAGCTCGCCCATCAGGGCGTTAGCCGCGGACATGTGTGCATATGCTACCCTTCAGGACGAGGATCGAAGGCCAGACTTCAATCGCTTGCCTCGCGAAGCATTGGTGGACGTTCTGGATGCGATACCAAGGATAAATTCGATACAGAAACTTTCGCGCCCATGGGATGAGTACACGGAAGGTTATTGGCCTATGCTGAACGAAGTCTGAGAAATGTATGTTCTGCTACCAATTTGTATTCGTTCGTGCGCTATCGCAAATCTAATTCACTCTAGCCGACCTCGCAGCAATCCGTGGACTCACAACTTCTCTCGCCACCGCAGATATGTTTCAACATGTTACTAGCATACAGAATTAGTTTACGCCATTCACCGATGACAACACCATCAGCGACTAAAGGGTGGCGACTTTCCTGCTGTACACTATTCAGGCAAGAGAAACTATGTAACACCAACCTCCGTCCCTCTCATAGGACAAGGTCGCGTAGAGCCTACGTCAACGTTAGATTGCCTACTTTGTATAGTGTTGCTTCAACGTATCCTGCAGCCCTGTTTAGGTTTTGCCTTCCAATGAGATCTGCATGTGCTCACAGCATATGCGCGTCTCTGGTACGAGGTGTCTTCTCTCTAGTAATAAGAGGGAGCTCATCGTGCGGCACTGGGGCCTTTTCAAAGTTCGATTCGTCAATGAGGACTTTCCTCACGATACAAACTAGACTAGCAGGCTTCCTCGTTTGCATACAAAAGATTGGTGCTTTATCAAACGTCTGGTGCATGAATGCGGGCACAACTCAGGTATGTAACACAGTATATAATTGCGATGCGGGTGCTTCTCCTAAGCACCTTGTTTCACAGTATGCAGCAGTATATACTCTTCTAAATGTTCTAGTATTTGAAACCAAGCCATGAAGTTCGGTGCGTCCCACTACAAAAGGTTTTACCTTAGAGGTTTGACGATGCCTGGAAGATATTCGGCGCACGCTACGATGCGCGATTGTGAATCTCTTTCACTTCAGTTGCATTTCACTCATCACCGCTACCGCAACCACGCTGGACAATGTATCGCAGTGCCCGGTGGCTGTCTCCAATAGGTGCGTGCACTTGCGCCGACCGACTGAGTAGCTGTGGTTCTGCCACTCCCCTAGCCTATATAAACCCCCGATCCCTCGACTCAACACCTCAACACCGCACTGCTTTACACTGCTCCGCTCAACCAGAACTTCCATCAAACTCCATCAAGAGTCACCTGAGCTCCTTTCCCAAGCAAACATCAGCAATCAGAAAGATGGGAGGCAAGAATAAGAAGAAGGGCGCCTCCGGCGCCGATGGGGTAGCCAGTTCGAGCAAGAAAAAGAAGGGACGGGGCGGCATGAGCGACAAGCAAGAAGAGAACAAGACCAGAACCTTGGAGGACCTTAACTCTTCCTCAGCTTGGGATCGTGACGATGCCGGAGACGATGCGACACTCGAACCGGATGACGCTGCCGAAACTTCCGAAGAGCCCATCGAATCCACTCCGACTATAGAGGCACAGGATATCACTGAAACTGAGCCAGTCAAGAACGACGACCCGCAGGACGAGCTTCCACAGCAAGAGCCCGATGTCGCCGAGACTGAGACACCTTGGACTACGACGCCGTCAGCGCGAAAGAAGAAGGCAAGCAACGTGTCAGACGCTGGAGATGTCTCTAGTGATACCCTTCCGAACAGCCAAGCCCCTGCCATATCATGGTCTTTTGGTGAGAAAGGCGTCACAAATGTTGCGAAGTCTCAAGATGCTGGACAGCCTCAAGATACCACAAACTTTGAAGCCGATCTAGGCGATAAGCTCAAGCATCTTTCGCTCGGAAAACAGACATTACAAGAAGACGTTGAAGTAACAGATGGCGAAGAGAAGCAGGGCACAATTGTTTCAGCTGATAACGTTGTGTGCCGGCCAAAGGTCGAGGATGAAGCAGCACCTGGAAATTCTAGCGACGAGTCATCAGCTCCTCTCGAAGGTCATCGGGCGCTATCACCACCGCCTCTCGAATCACAGCTTGAAGA